CTCGCCACCGGCAGGCCCAGGGACCTTCAAGCCGGGCTCGCCCACGGTGGGGACCGGGCCGCTGCCGCCTGCAGGGCCCTCGGGCCTGTCATCCCTGCCACCACCGCCTGCGGCCCCCGCCTCAGGGCCGCCCCTGAGCGCCACGCAGATCAAACAGGAGCCGGCTGAGGAATATGAGACCCCCGAGAGCCCGGCGCCCCCGGCCCGCAGCCCCTCGCCCCCTCCCAAGGTGGTAGACGTGCCCAGCCACGCCAGCCAGTCGGCCAGGTGAGAGGCGGGGTGGGGGTGGGGGTGGGGTGGCGGGCGCGGGACGGGCCTTGCGTTCGTTCGTGTGGTGCTTTTCAAAGTACTCCAGGCCCTGGTCTCGGCAGCTGGTGCGGGGCCGCTCGCAGGGGCTGAGCGCGCGCTGCCTCCGCGCCCGGCAGGTTCAACAAACACCTGGACCGCGGCTTTAACTCGTGCGCGCGCAGCGATCTGTACTTCGTGCCGCTGGAGGGCTCCAAGCTGGCCAAGAAGCGAGCCGACCTGGTGGAGAAGGTGCGGCGCGAGGCCGAGCAGCGCGCGCGCGAAGAAAAGGAGCGCGAGCGCGAGCGGGAACGCGAGAAGGAGCGCGAGCGCGAAAAGGAGCGCGAGCTGGAACGCAGCGTGGTGAGTTCACCGCGTGCCGCCTCCCGCCTCTGGCCCGCCCTCTACGCGACTCGGGGAGGCTCGAGGGGTGGGGATTGGGGTGGGGTGGGGTAGGGTGTCATGCGCCACCTGTCGGAGAGGAGGAGCCACTGCAGCCCAGGAGACCAAAGGATTCCAGCGGGAGGAATTGCATCTCTGGGCCGGAGGAAGGCAAGCTCGGGTCAGAGTACCTGTGGATCCCAGGAAGAGCCACTAACCTACATAGGAAGAGAAGGGGCAGGGAAGTCCCTGGCGGGCTGAATTCCAATGAGTTGAAGCTTTAGGTGTTCAATGCTGAGACATTGAACTGAGGACCAGGACCAGCCACATCTTTCCAACCTGCTTTTTTGACCCCGCTTCTCCGTGTATCCCACAGAAGTTGGCTCAGGAGGGCCGTGCTCCAGTGGAGTGCCCACCGCTCGGCCCAGTGCCTCATCGCCCTCCATTTGAGCCGGGCAGTGCTGTGGCTACAGTGCCCCCCTACCTGGGTCCCGACACTCCAGCCCTGCGCACCCTCAGTGAATACGCCCGGCCCCACGTCATGTCTCCTGGAAATCGCAACCATCCATTCTACGTGCCCCTGGGGGCAGTGGACCCAGGGCTCCTGGGTTACAATGTCCCGGCCCTGTACAGCAGTGACCCAGCAGCCCGGGAGAGGGAGCGGGAAGCCCGTGAACGAGACCTGCGTGACCGCCTCAAGCCTGGCTTCGAGGTGAAGCCTAGTGAGCTGGAACCCCTGCACGGGGTCCCTGGGCCAGGCCTGGATCCCTTCCCCCGACACGGGGGCCTGGCTCTGCAGCCTGGCCCACCCGGCTTGCACCCTTTCCCCTTTCATCCAAGCCTGGGGCCCCTGGAGAGAGAACGTCTAGCGCTGGCAGCTGGGCCAGCCCTGCGGCCTGACATGTCCTACGCGGAGCGTCTGGCAGCTGAGAGGCAGCATGCAGAAAGGGTGGCTGCCCTGGGCAACGACCCGCTGGCCCGCCTACAGATGCTCAACGTGACCCCCCATCACCACCAGCACTCCCACATCCACTCTCACCTGCACCTCCACCAGCAGGACGCCATCCATGCAGGTGAGACTCCTGCTTCCTGGCCCAGGCCCTTTGAGGCCACCTTGCCGCCCTGGCAAGTGATCGGTGCTTCTGTCCCTCGGGCCAGGACTTCCCTCCCCACGTCTGGCCTGAGCCTCTCTCCTGAGATTGCTGCCCTGGCCTTTGCCTTTGCAGCCTGTCTCCTCCTGCCCCAGCCTTGCCACGGAGACCCTTCCCCACACCCCAGCCCTCTTCAGGTCTGGTGCCCACCCGCGACAGAGGCCCAAGGTGGGAACCTTTGAAGGAGCACGGTCTTCCTCCCCTCACAGCCCCTGCCTCTGAGCCTTCACGTAACTATTTTCTTCTTCCTCTGGATTCAACTCTTGTTTCTTGCCATCTTCTCCCCTCCCTGGCGGAGGTGTTTCATGTTCCTCTCTGCCTCTAGATCTGTGACCTTCTGGAAAGAGAGCCTCGTGGCTCTGGTTGTGGGATCACGTTGACAACGAGCTTTACTCACTGTCTTTTCACCACATTTCTTACTGTCAGAACACTGCCCCGTCTAGCCTCACAGTCACGTTCATTGCAGGCTCCTTGCGCTTTCTCTCTTTGAAGCTCCTCCCCGTCTCATTTCCTAAACTTCCAATCCTCTTCCGTCTCCTCTCAACAGTCCACTCCTCCCTCCCTATTCCTCAGGTCCCTCTGCCAACTGTAATCTCCTGTCCTCTGCCATCTGCAGTAGGGTCTTGCCCTGTCCATCTCCCAGGCCCCTAGTTCCTCCATTGTGCCTCCTTGATCCACTGGATCTCCCAGTGTGTGATTGCCCACCTCTCGTCCCAGGCATGGATGCCTTCACCCAAATGCATGGCTTTCCCCAAACCTCCCTCTGGTGACACCTTCCTCTTCTCTACCCTCCAGCCTCTGCCTCGGTGCACCCTCTCATTGACCCCCTGGCCTCAGGGTCTCACCTTACCCGGATCCCCTACCCAGCTGGGACCCTCCCCAACCCCCTTCTTCCTCACCCTCTGCACGAGAACGAAGTTCTTCGTCACCAGCTCTTTGGTAAGGATGGAGGTCTCGGGGTTGGGGAAGGTCTTACGAGGGAAGGGCAGAAAGGAGGAAGTTAGGTGGTGGGATTGGCCTGGTTGGGCTTGGGGAGAGATGAGGAGGTGCCCAGAGGAGCTGGGAACGGGAGTAGGAGGGCTGAGGCCCTGCCCAAGAGAGGCACAGGGTTTAGGGCCAGGCTAAGAGGCCTGAATCCTAACCACCCCTGGCAACTTGCTGGGCTGGCTGCCACCTAAGTTGATTAGTGGCAGCTGCTCTGTATGTAAAGCGGCTGGCTACCTCAGTACGCCATCAGTCACGTGGCCCCTGCCCTTCCTGCCCACAGCTGCTCCTTACCGGGACCTGCCAGCCTCCCTCTCTGCCCCGATGTCAGCAGCTCACCAGCTGCAGGCCATGCACGCGCAGTCCGCTGAGCTGCAGCGCTTGGCGCTGGAGCAGCAGCAGTGGCTGCACGCCCATCACCCGCTGCACGGTGTGCCACTCCCCGCCCAGGAGGACTACTACAGGTACCGCGGGGCGTCCTAGGTCAGCCCGAGGGGACGCAGCTCAGCCCGCCTGGGATGGGCTGTGGCTCCCGTGGGAGGGGAACCCCTTCCCCACCATCCTCTGTGAGAGGGGCCAGGTCAGGATGGACCTCAGCCTCTCAGTCCCTGCTCTGCCCCCCTCTTCCCCCAGTCACCTGAAGAAGGAAAGCGACAAGCCGCTGTAGAACCTGCGATCAAGAGAGCACCCGTGGCCCCTGCATCTGGACCCAGGAGGCCTCCCTCCCCGCCTGCCACTCAGAGCGGAGGGGGGTGCCGCTCAGTCCCAGGGCCTGGGCCTCTGGGCAGAAGGAAGGAGGAAGGGACAGATGGAAGGCCAAGGCTCCTGTGGTGTGCGGAGGTGGGGAGGGGGCGGGGGTGAGGGCGGAAAGCGCACAGCATCTTGGACCAGGTCCCTCTCCCTTGGCCCCCCGCCTTTCTCCCTCCCCCACGCCCCACCCCCGTGGCCACCGCCTCTCCCCCGCCCCTTGGTGTGATTATTTCATCTGTTAGATGTGGCTGTTTTGCGTAGCAACGTGTGCTGCCCCCGCCCCTCCCCAGCCCCCGTGTGCGCGCCCCCCACTGCGATGTATGCCCCTCGCCCTTCCCCCACATTAATAATTTATATATATAAATATCTATATGACGCTCTTTAAAAAACATCCCAAACAAAACCAACCAAACAAAAACACCCTCACGACTCCCCAGGAAGATGTCTGTGGCTGTTTCTTTGTGGGCTACTGGGCGTGGGTTGGGGGCGTGGGTCTCTGCGCGGCGACGCCTCGAGAGAAAGCTGTGGGATCACCGGAGACTAGCCCGGAGGTGGGTGGGGCCCCTGGAGAGTTGGAGAGGGGACCTCGAAGAGCCCGGGGTCCTGGAGCTCTGGCTCTGCCCTAACGGGGTCCGTCTTGGCCTTCCTCCCAAGGCCGTCAAGTCAGGACGCTGGCGGCCTGGGACAGCTCTAGGCAACTACGCAGACTTGGGAGGCACTCCTGCCACTGGCCCCACAGTTAGGGGCCACCAGAGACTTGCATCTTTTCCGTAGCATAGTTAGAGATGGTGTTGAAGCGGAGGTGCAGGGGGCGTGGCTGCTATAAGTTTAAGCGTTCAGAACGCAGGAGTTTTAACCACCCTATAGTTCGAGGAGGGAGTGGGTGACAATTTCAAACGCCCGGAAGGGAAAGGAAATTAGAGGGCGTTACAACGCTTCCCCCCACCCCGCCCCGACACAAGGCCATTTTCGGAAAGCGCGGGAGCTGCTTCAACGCCAAGCTTTTACTGCTGCGAATCCTTGTCTACGTTCTTAAAAACTAAAGGGGAGTGACTGGCTTCTTCCTGAGCCAATCGGCATAGAGTTATTTGCATAGGCCTGTACCAAACGTTCACAAACTCTAGAAACGGATGATTTAAGAGAGTTCTTTTCAATACTGTTTTCCCTTCTGAAAGCTGCAGTGTGCCCTGTTGCTTGTGTAGCAGTAAAGATTAGGAAATGCCATGGGAGCTCACCCTCACCAATAGTGGAGTTGGTGGACATGCCACCTTCTCTCCAGGGCGTGTTGTGGTAGTGTTACAGCTCTTTTAGAATTTGTCTAGTAGGTTTTCTGGTTTTTACCGGAAAACCCCCACCATACAGTTTGTCTTTAACAATAGAATAATTTTAAGTGAGCGGTAAGAATTTCAGATGGTAGGTTAGCTCACTGTTCTCACGACGAGCTCGTTATTGGTTGTTAAAAATGGAGAAATGGAAGCGGTATCGTGAGGTTTCCGGCATAAGCTGATGCAATTTCCCTATCGCCCCACCCGCTGGGAGAGCCGCTCTAGGATATTGCTTGTTTCTCCTGGCTGTTTCTCGAGCGCGGTTGCACGTGTATCTTTTGTTCTATGGCGGCCGCCTCTGCTCAAGCTGCAGCGTTGAGCGCCGAGCAGGCCAAGGGTGAGAAACCTTTTAGTTGTCGGGTGGGATTCTTGCTAAAGAAGAGTGCGGGAAAAAGATCTGGGGCGAGAGAAATGGCTGCGTTCGCTGGGAAATGCGGGTACTCGGTACCATACTCTGTCAGTTAACAAGGGTCCTTGCTCCTGGAGCGAGAGATTCGGAGGCCGAGTTCCTTGGGTTACTATGGTTTCAGTCTGTTAAATAATTCCCTGCCCTCTTTCTTGTGTTTTCGTTTGGGCCCGCCGGCCGTGCGCCGATGCGTACCCGGGACTTCTTCCGGGATGCGTCTGTTGCGCAGTGGTCCTGGCCGAGGTGATCCAGGCGTTCTCGGCGCCGGAGAACGCCGTGCGCATGGACGAGGCTCGGGACAACGCGTGTAACGACATGGGCAAGATGCTGCAATTCGTGCTGCCCGTGGCCACGCAGATTCAGCAGGAGGTTATCAAAGCTTATGGCTTCAGCTGCGACGGGGAAGGTGGGTCGGACGGGGATGGAGGAGAGAGCGATGGATTCCCTTGGGTCTCCGAGCCGTAATCCCTTTTCTCGCCACACGGCGGCAGCCACACTCTAATAGTGTTGGTACTCTGAGACCAGGGTCTGTTCATGAACTTGAGCCAAGCGAAGTCTGAAGTGAGTTTTCTAGTTACAGTTAATTATACTGTTACACCATTTTAAGATGAGGAAACAGACTCTAGAAAGTGCCGGAGGTCACAGCCGAGTTGGACCTGAAACCCGTTCTGACGGCTTGTAGTGAGGTGTCTGCATGACAGCACAGTTCTGCAGCCCCTCCAAGGTGTTTCTTTTCTGTTTGAGGGTTGGCAGTTCAGTTTCTCTGGGGAGATCAGGGTCTTCCCCAAGGGTGTTTACTGATTCAGCCCAACTGGCCCATGGCCCTCCTGTTCCTGGTTCTGGACTGCTGATCTTGTGGGTGTGCATCCTTTGGGGTCTTGTGACTAAAGTGCTAAAATGGTTCACCTGATGGTGGGCAGCACACTGCTGCGGGATATTTTCATTCACTGCATCACATCCAGTTGTGCCCCAGTGTAGACCAGGAAGTAGTTGATCCAAACCACACAGGGCAGAGGCCTGCATATGTCGTGTTTTGCAGACAGCTACCTGGGGCCGGAGCCAGAGTAGCCAGCGACTCCGGCTCAAGCTGCCCCCTCCTGCCATCTTGGGCACATCCGTCCGCTGGGGGTGTGGACTGATGCTCCTGTTTCCCTTCGCAGGTGTCCTTAAGTTTGCCCGCTTGGTCAAGTCTTATGAAGCCCAGGATCCCGAGATTGCCAGCCTGTCGGGCAAGCTGAAGGCGCTGTTCCTGCCGCCTATGACCCTGCCGCCCCACGGGCCTGCTTCGGGTGGCAGTGTGGCCGCCTCCTGAGGGTTGGCCCTCCCGTGGCACTGCTGGGGAAGGGAGGACCTTGGTGTTCCGGAGGATATAAATGTGCCTGTGACTTAGCCTTGCCGTCTGTCTTTTGTGACCCTGACAACCTCTGCGTCCTGGCCTGATGCGCTCTGCCTTTCAGGCTGCTCCATCTTCCTGTCCAGGTCCTCCCTGTGCTCCTGCTGGGCCCAACCAGCTCCGGGGCAGAGTGGGAGGGGCCGGCCCCTCAACGCCCTGGGTTGGGGGGCCCTGCACAGGCAGCCCCGCCTCTGAGGAGTGGGGCTTCCTGGGCTTTTCCTGAGGCCCCTTGGCTTCTGTGTGCTGGGAGGCTCCCCCATTGGTTGGTGCTCCCTTGGCCAGGGTTACTTCCTGGTCTCTGCCCGCAGCACCCATCCTCCCTCCGCTCCGTCGGCCGGAGCGCCAGGTGGAGCTCCAGGTGGCTCCTCCCTTCCCCAGGGAAGGAGGCGGGGCACAGGCCGGCGGCGCTGGACCGCGGCGTGGGGCTAGAGAGAGAAGCCAGCTGCTGTGGGCGGTCTAAGGCCAGCCCCTCCCCACCTGTCCCTTTTCCGGGTTTATTAAGTCCAGGGGCTTGTCCCTGTGGCATCTTGGCCTGGCGGGCAGCATCGAGAGGAAAGTGGCTGAGTTCTGAGTGTTCTTTCTCACCCTGGGCCACTGCACGACTGCGGCTCGGGCTCAGCCCCGCCCCCTGTGGCCATCTGCCTGTGACTCCCTACCCCTCTCGGGAAATGCTGTCCCATGGGTAAGTTCCCTGCTCTGCTTGCGTATCATGGTCCTCTGTTCATTTGGGAGGGAGGGGCAGTATTCCTGCTCACTCCTGACAGGTGTGTGACCACGAGTGCGACCTGCCTCTGCCCCCTGCCCTGGGTCCGCTTCCCCGAAAGATGTCAGGAACTCCGGGCTCATTCGTAGCCCTCTGCACCACCCCCTCTTCTCTAGCACTTTCTCCCTGACAGATGCATATTTTTTCTCACCATTGCATTTCTCCCTTCATCCTCTGGTCCCCTGCTTCTGCCATCTGCTTAGGATCTGTCCCCCTGGGGAGCCCATGTCACCTGAATGAAACATTACACGTCTGAAAGGCAAATCTGAGAAGGCTCCCCTGTTCCCACTAAACTTCCCAGTATCCTTCATTCAGATTTCCTTCAGTTTCCCTTCACTCCTCTGCATCAATTCATTCAACAGATACCTGTTGAGCATCTATTATACGCCAGGTGCTTTTTAAGGTGCTGCCAATACTGTAGCAAACAAGAGAGACATGGTCCCTGCTCTCACGGAGCTTCACTCACTCCAGTGGAAGGTGACAGACTGCCCAAGGAACCCACTAAGTAGGATAATTGCAGGTTCTCAGAAGTGTTACCCAGAAAATGAAACAGCTTCACGTGCTAGTAAGTGACTGCGGTGCCAGTGGCGTCACTGGCTGGAGCGGGCAGGGAGGGCTTTCCTGAGGAGGTGACACAGGAGCTGCGACCTGGAGGGGGAGCCAGGCTCCAGTGCCCCTGGGCGGAGGGAATGGCCAGTGCAAAGGCCCTGCTGTGAGAACAAACTAAAGGACAGCGCCTGCAGCAGAGCAGGCCAGTGGGGAGGGCCGGGACAGACCAGGCCTTGCTGGAGTTTGGATGCTACAGTGAGGACCTGCTTGGCATGTTGGTGAGTTGATGGGTTGGTCACCCCCGAGTCCTGCAGGTTCTTGCTTCTCACACTGACATCTGCCCTGGGGTGGGCCCTGCCTCCCCCAGTGCACACCTTGTCTCCTTCAGCCCTGATGTCAAGGTTTTGATTGAGTTGCCTGATCCCTGATCCCTTCTGCACTCCCGCCTCGGTCGTTTTCCTACCACGTGGTTGGCAAGGCCTCTCCTGGGACAGAGTCCTTCCTTGGGTCCCCAGCCTGCCCCTGTGAGACCCTCTGCCATGGGTCCCAGCCTCTGAGAGCAGCTCAGCTCAGCCACAGTGCCCTGCTCACACCCAGCGCTGCTCCAGTGGGTCCTGTGCCTGCCACCCGGGTGCCTTTGCAGATCCTGCCTCTGCAGGAGTGCCGGCCCCTGTGGCCTCATCATGGGCTGTGCCAGTGCCCTGCCTCCTCCAGCAGTGGCTGGTGTGGTGGGAAGGGCAGTGGCCTCACATCAGACAGCCTTGGTTTGTTGCCTTCCCCTTACTAGCTTGTGACCTTGGGCAAGTTACTTCTCTGAGGCTTAGTTTTTGTTTCTAAAATTGGGCTAATGAGACCTACTAAATAATGTTGGCATGTGGATTAATAATGTCACATAGAAGGTGTTCGTGCCAAAAACTTACTTCATATTGGTCTTTTGTATCAGTATTTGGGAAATATTGTTAAGCTCATTTATCAGGTAGGGATACTGAGGCTCAGGGAACTTCAAGAACTTTCTAGATATTATTTCACCTTCTTTGCTCTTCCAGACTGCCCGTCTTTCTGCATCCCCCTTGATCTTCATCTCTACCTTTATTTCCTTGCTTTCCAAGTGAATAATTTTCACTTCGGAATTAGTAGACCCTTACTTTTGTAACTCTCAGCTTCCTTGAGCCTGTTTTCCTCCCTTAAAAAAAAATTCAGAAAAATAACTCCTACATCACAGGGATGTCTGAGGCCCAAATGGGATTGTGTGTGTGTGTGTGCAAGTGCTCTGTGAACTCCAGAGCACTTATGTCAAGGGAAGGGAGGTGCTTCTTATTGATTTTCGTGCCAGAGGACAGCAGAGACAGTACATCTCATCCTGGTGTCTGCCTGTCTTCTGGCTTGACCCCCTTCAGAGAAATTCCTGCTTCTTCCGTGGTCAGGAGTTTCTGGGTTCCTAGTTAGTTTCTGTCCACCAAGTGGTGTACAAGCTCCAGAAGGACAGTGGTTTGTGGCCAGGGTGCGGGGAGTGTTTAGTGTCGAGCACGGACCTGCAGCTTCGTGTGTGGTCAGGACGTGGTGTCCACATGTGGGTGCTTGCACCCAGCCAGGTACATGCGTAGACAGACATGGATATGGTGAGGTGTACGTAGTGGGGCTGTGTGTGCATAAGTGGACGCTTGTGTGCTTGTGTGTGTGCGTGTGTGTGTATACTCATCTGTATATGACAAGTAGGGTGTGCACGTGTAGGACCGGACCTGGGCTTGTGACCAAGTATGTGCACGGGTCCGGATGAGCTTGGTTATTGGACACATACTCTGTGCGAGGCATGGTGCTAAGTTTTGACCCCTTGGAGGTGAGCCAGGCTGGCAGCGGACCCCCTGTGTTGGAGAAGGCGATGTCCACCTCCTTCCTGCCCCCTTCTGTGGGGGTGAGTTCGTGGTCTTTCAGGGCGGCTGTCCAAGACTGGAGGTAGTCAGTGTTAGGCCATGCAATAAACAGACCAAGCAAGGCTCCCAGGGCCCCAGAAAGAGGTGGAAAAAAGAAGCCCTTCTTGGGGTGGGGGGGAAATTGATGTTCAAAAAATGATAAAGTAGCCAACATAAGACAATAGACTTTTGTTGGGCTTGAGCACTTTATTTATTTTCCTTATTTTTTGAGGCACAGCATACGTCATGTGCATGAATACTGAACATCACATTTATTCCGTCCGTGTATACACCACCCAGATCGCGATGTAGAGCATACCCAGTACCCCAGAAGTGTCCCAGGAATTGCCATCTCCCAGTCAGTTTACTTATTTTTATAAAGGTAATACCTGCCCGTGATACAACCTTCAAAAAGGTGGAAGGGAGAAGGAAAGGTCCCTCCCAGCCCTCTCCTCCAGCCACCTGGTCCCCCTCCCCAGGGAAGCCACCAACAGGAGTTTCTTGCGTCTGTTTCGTTGGGCTTCTTTCCTCTTGCTTTGGTTTGTATTTGGAATTACGGGGAGCATGGCAAGCTTTTAGTGTTTAGGGCCTCTCCAGGTCAACCGGCCCTGAGAATAAGCCCTGGAAGGCCCTGCGCCCCCAGCCCCAGTCCCAGGAGACAGGCCTCTGGTCAGAGTCCTGAACTCCAGTGGATTCAGACCAGACCCCCTTGGCAAGAACCTACAGCTCAGGCATAGGGTGGACGCACCCATGGGGGCTGGTGGCTCCGCCCACACCTGCTTCCCTAGGTCTGCTCCTTACCTGACTGCAGGGTTGGGGCCAGGTGGATGGGCCAAAGCCTGAGGACAAGAAGCAGAGAAGGTGCAAGTTGGACAGGGCATAGGGGTCATTCTGTCTATCCCTCTGCCCCAGGGCACCTCTTCAGCTATGTGTGTCAAGGGAGGGGAGGGCATCCCTCTGTAGGCATCTTCCTGGCCTTGGCAATTACGGAGTCTCCCCCTCCCACTGCGACCCTAATGGAAGAGTCTCCCAACCTCTGTTCTTTATCTTTTAGCTTTTTATTTTTATTTTACTTTTTAAATTATTTATTTATTTATTTTTTGGCTGCGTCAGGATTTAGTTGGGGCGTGCGGGCTCTTCGCTTAAGCAGCGGTGCGCGTGCGGGCTTCTCTCTCGTTGTGGCACGCGTGGCATGTGGGATCTTAGTTCCCCAACCAGGGATCGAACTGGCGTCCCCTGCATTGCAAGATGGAGTCATTTTTTTTAAAATTTATTTTTAATTATTTTATTTTATTTATTTGTTTTTGGCTGCCTTGGGTCTTCGTTGCTGCGCGCGGGCTTTCTCTAGTTGCGGCGAGCGGGGGCTACTCTTTGTTGCGGTGCGCGGGCTTCTCACTGCGGTGTCTTCTCTTGTTGCAGAGCACGGGCTCTAGGCGCGCGGGCTTCAGTAGTTGTGGCATGTGGGCTCAGTAGTTGTGGCTCGCGGGCTCTAGAACGCAGGCTCAGTAGTTGTGGCGCACGGGCTTAGTGGCTCTGCAGCATCTTCCCAGACCAGGGCTCGGACCCGTGTCCCCTGCATTGGCAGGCGGATTCTTAACCACTGCGCCACCAGGGAAGCCCCAGCTCTTTATTTTTTTATTGGAGTACAGCTCCAACCTCTGTTCTTTGAAGCCCTGAGGCCTGGCATGCAGTAGCTAAAATCGCCGGCTTTGGAACCAGGCCGTCTGGTTTGCATCCTGGCACCGCCACTTACTGACTGTGTGACCCTGGGCGAG